GTCACATGTGCAACTAGGGGGAAAAAACCTCTAGATCACCTTTACTCCACACACAGAGATGCGTACAAAGCTCTCCCTCGCCCTCCATTTGGCAAATCTGACCATCACTCTATCCTCCTGATTCCTGCTTACAAGCAAAAACTCAAACAGGAAGTACCAGTGACGCGCTCAATACGGAAGTGGTCCAATGAAGCGGATCCTAAGCTACAGGATTGTTTCGCTAGCACAGACTGGAATATGTTCCAGGATTCATCCGATGGCATTGAGGAGTATACCACATCAGTCACCGGCTTCATTAATAAGTGCATCAACGACGTCGTCCCTACAGTGGATTACAGGCAACATCCGCACTGAGCTAAAGGCTAGAGCTGTCGCTTTCAAGGATTGGGACACTAATAAGAAATCCTGCTACGCCCTACGACGAAACATCAAACAGGCAAAGCGTCAATACAGGACTAAGATCAAATCCTACTACACCGGCTCAGACGCTCGTCGGATGTGGCAGGTCTTGCAAACTATCATGGATTACAAATGGAAAGCCAGCCACGAGCTGCCCAGTGACGCGAGCATACCAGTCGAGCTAAATGCCTTCTATGCTCGCTTTGAGGCAAGCAACACTGAACTGTGCATGAGAGCACCAGCTGTTCCGGATGACTGTGTGATCACGCTCTCCGTAGACGATGTGAGTAAGACCTTTAAACAGGTTAACATTCACAAGGCTACAGGGCCAGACGGAATACCAGGACACGTACTCAGAGCATGCGCTGACCAGCTGGCAAGTGTCTTCACTGACATTTTCAACCTCTCCCTGACCCAGTCTGTAATACCTACATGTTTCACGCAGACCACCATAGTCCATGTGCCCAAGAACGGCAAGTTAACCTGCCTAAATAACTACGGCCCGTATTACTCACATCTGTAGCCATAATGCTCTGAAAGGCTAGTCATGGCTCACATCAACGCCATCATCCCAGAAACCCTGGACCCACTCCAACTCACATACTGCCCCAACAGATCCACAGATGACACAATCTCTATTGCACTCCACACTGCCATTTCCCACCTGGACAAAAGGAACACCTACGTGAGAATGCTGTTCATTGACTACAGCTCAGCGTTCAACACCATAGTGTCCTCCAAGCTCATCACTAAGCTAAGGACCCTGGAACTGAACAGCTTCCTCTGCAACTGGATTCTGGACTTCCTGACAGGCAGCCCCCAGGTGGTGGGGGTAGGCAACAACACATCTGCCACGCTGACCCTCAACATGGGGGCCCCTCAGGGGTGCGTGCTTAGTCCCCTCCTGTACTCCCTGTTCACCCACGACTGCGTGGCCGCGCACGACTCCAACACCATCATTAAGTTTGCCGACGACACAATGGTGATAGGCCTAATCCCCGACGACGATGAGACAGCCTATAGGGAGTAGGTCAGAGACCTGACAGTGTGGCACACGCTCGATGTACACTCGCTGGACTCTAACCACACACCCACACACACTACACCTACACTCCAACACACACACACATGGACACACACACAAAACACATACACATGCATATTCCTTCACACTCTTCACACACACTGCTGCTACTCTCTGTTTATTATCTATGCATAGTCACTTTACCCCTACCTACATGTACATATTACCTCAATTACCTTGACTACCCAGTACCCCAGCACATTGACTCGGTACCGGTACCCATTGTGTATATATCCCCGTTGTTGTTATTTTGTATTGTGTTACTATTTTTCCTTTAGTTAATTTAGCTATTTTTTCTTACTTACTTTTAAAAAACTGCATTGTTGGTTAAGAGCCCGTAAGTAAGCATTTCACTGTAAGGTTGTATTTGTTGTGTTTGGCATGTGACAAATACAATTGTATTTGATTTCATTTGACAACATGTAGTTCACTACTCCCCAACACTGTGCAAAACCCACATTCCTCTCTATCAGCAGACTCCATCACCTGTAGACTCTTAGAAAAAAGGGTTCCAAAAGTGTTCTTTGTAAGGCAAAGGGTTCTACCTAGAACCTTTAACATCCTAAGAACCGTTTTTGGAAGAAAGGGTTATTTGATGATTCTTTGGAAGGCAAGCAGGATTCTTTGGAAAGCAAGAAGGGTTCTTTGGAAGGTAAGAAGGGTTCTACATAAAGCCATATATCATATTTCCTAGCATGCTCTATTGCATGGTGATTTTCAGAATTGTTTGTTTTAATATCTGTGTTTATGCATGTACATTGATTGGTTGATCCAATATGTTAATAATTTGACTTATTGCACCTGTTACTGAGATGGTTGTTCCAGTTTAGATGATTGAGGTAGTCTCAGTATTTAATCTGCCCTACGCTGGCAGTCATTCTGAATGCAGGTTGCGGGTGATAAAAAATTCCACTTGTTGGCTATCCTAACTCTGTCTGGATTCCAATAGGAATTAAACACTTTGCAAGCCAGCATAATGTGACTTGCAGGCCTGATGTGGCCTGATAAGCAGGAGTAAAACATCACTTTTCAAGCCAGCATAATGTGACTCTGCAAAGGGTTCTACCTAGCACCAAAAAGGGTTCCCTTATGGGGACAAACCGAAGAACTGTACATGGTTCTACTTAGCACCTTTTTTTTCTGAGTGTACCTGCTCCCACATCATCGCCTTACAGAGCCTACATCAGAGCCTTGTCTGTATCTGGCTGGCTGATCTCCTTTACTTTTACAACGCCCTGTTTTGTTTCATAAATGTTGAGAGCTTTGGCTGCCCAGCAGTTGATGCAGCTGGAGAAAGGTCAGATGGGATCGAAGCTAAACTCACTAGTCTGCACTGTAAATCCTACAAAAAAGGTGCTATCTAGAACCTAAATGGTTATTCGGATGTCCCCATAGGAGAACCCTTTGAAGAACCCTTTTTGGTTCCAGGTAGAAACCTTTTGGGTTCCATGAAGGACCCTTTCCACTGAGGGGTGGGAAAAGGGTTCTCCTATGGGGACAGCCAAATAACCATTTTAGGTCCTAGATAGCACCTTTTTTGTAGGATTTACAGTGCAGACTAGTGGGTTTAGCTTAATGTCCACACTGTGTTTGTGTGTGTGTGTGTGTGTGTGTGTGTGTGTGTGTGTGTGTGTGTGTGTGTGTGTGTGTGTGTGTGTGAGAGAGAGTGAGTGAGAGAGAGATTACCCCCAATCTCTTTATCTAAAGTATTCCTATGCGGCCCATTGTTACAGGAAGCTGTCATGGGTAAGGAGAGCAGACGGGACGGTTGGCATGCCCTGCCCTGCAGTGTTATTTGTACTGCAGGGCGGCTCTCCTCTTCTCTCTGGTAAACCCGTCCTCCACTGCCCCTCTCGCTCGCTGCGCTCGTCAAAAACCGTCAACTCAGCATTATTTTCAAGCTGACGCATTTTCATAGTCTTAAGAGTTTACATGGATGGCTGGATTTCATCGCTGCGTGTGTGAGATTTCTCCACTGTAATTAATGAGACCCGGGTCCAGGGTAAACTCTTTCAGCTAAAGGCATTTTAGCTTTGAGGTCTGCGCCCTGAGGGTGTGTATGTGTGCGTGTGTGTGTGCATGCTTGGGCCTGACTTCTGGCTTACTGTAATGGAGAGTAATTGGACCTCAGATCTGCACCATGTCCTTATATATTATCCTCCTCTAAGAAAGAGATCTGCTTTACTATTAATTACTATGCACAACCACCTGGCTTCTTAATTGTGAGTGTTTAGACTGTCTGTCTGTAAGCAGCATTATGTGTCTGGGTAAACAGAGTACACACTAACAGTGCTTGGTGAGGCAGCTAAACGTTATCAACATGTTATGCTTGCCAGGTCTTCGCCCTCTCATTTAAAGCTATGGTGTAGCAGAAGGGTTCCCCTCTTTCTGATGGAGGTCACCACAACAACACGGATCCCTTCCCATAGCCTCTCTCTCCGTGTAGCTCCGTGTCAGGCCATCTCTGATACAGTTTGATACAATATGTCAGTCAGCTCAGCACTAGCTCCTAAAACACCTTCCTCACTGTAGGACTTGGCTTGGGCTTGGCTGTGTGTTCTGTAACAACACAAAGTGTTGCCTCAACCTCGTAGCTGAAACACAAGAGGCCCCACTCAAATAAACCAAGGGGGCTGGTGCCAAGAATACAATGCTCTTCCTTTCTCCCTGCTAGCTAACCGGGCTGTAGGGAGGCAGTACAGGGAGGCAGTAGGGAACAGACATGGGTTCAAATAGTATCTGAAATCTTTCAAAAATACTTTGAGCGTTTGCTTTAGCCTGCCTTGAACTTGTTGTGACTTTTCACTTTTCTATTGGTTCTAATTCAAAAGGCAAGCTCAATCAAGTGTTTGAAATGATTTCAAATACTATTGAACCCAGGTCTGCTAGGTAGGCAGTCGGGAGTTGGTACAGGGCAGTAAGGGCTGATTGGTGGCAGTAAGGGTTGATGGGTTTATTATAACAAGTCTCTTTTCTCTTTCTCTCTCTCTCTCTCTCTCTCTCTCTCTCTCTCTCTCTCTCTCTCTCTCTCTCTCTCTCTCTCTCTCTCTCTCTCTCTCTCTCTCTCTCTCGTTGCACTCTCACTCTCTCTCTTCCCCCTCTCTCCCTCTCTCTCCATCTCTATCTCTCTCCCCATCTATCTCTCTCTCACTCCCCGTCTCCCACGGCCTAACTTCATCATTAACAGGTTTTGATTTAATTACCCGTCATTAAGCCCCTGTTTTACTGGGAGCTTGCAACCCATTTAATCGCTGTTTGGTTGCTGCACGGCTGTGTGTGTGTGTGGGGGGGGAGAATTAGGCACTGATTTGTTTACCTCTAGTCAGATTCTCCTTAGTTTAGGAATCACAGGGGTGCAGGCTGTGTGCCTGGAGGGAGTGTGAGTTGCTTTGTACATGGTTTAGTGGGCCGGACTGACAGCGCTGGTGGGGTGTTCTTTGCTTGTGTTTATTGCTTTGACTGACTTCTCTCTCTCCCTCTCCCTCCCCATCTCCTCCATCTCTCTTGCCCCCTGTAGGCTATGCCTGGAGGCCCGTGACCCATACTGTGGCTGGGACAGGAAACAGAGGCGATGCACCACCCTGGAGGACAGCTCTAACATGAGCCAGTGGAGTCAGAACATCACTGTGTGTCCTGTAAGTGCCAACAGGGACCCCCAGTTTCCCCTACCCCACCCGTTTTGTTATTTCCTCAGGTGTCACTATTGTCACTGGTAACCCCCTGGGGCTGCCTGCGACACTGCTGGCTGGCTGACAACCTGGAATACCTTCACTCTGCCTGGTCTCTCCTAGGGACTCTGGCCATGTACAGTAGTAGTCTGACAGTTTAACATTGTGACAGTTTGTTTTGCCTTGGGGACTCAATTTGTCCAGGTCGCCCTAGGAAACGGTTTTTAGCCTCAAGTGTCTTTCCTGATTAAATGAAGGTAAAATAACAGTTTTCCTGTGTCAAGGTTATTGTCACATGATTAATGATATCCAGTAAATTCCCTGACACTCTTGTCTCTCTCTCTGCCCTGTGTGGATTTTCAGCTGAGGAACCAGACCACCAATGGCGGCTTTGGACCCTGGGCGGCATGGCAACAATGCAGCAACGACGACGGCGACAGCACCAGCACCTGTCTCTGTCGCTCCAGGGACTGTGACAACCCCCCAGCTCGCTGTGGTGGGAGGAACTGTGAGGGGCCCACCATCGAAGTCTCCAACTGTTCCAGGTATGTAGAATCAATAGGGATTTCCATAGATCCTGATTGGAGGATTGCGGATTTCCTGCTTATTCCCTCCTGATTCCGGGAAACTTCCCAGCGGGATTTCAGGAAAACCTGGTAATTTTGGGAAAGTTATAGGAATGTTTCCACCCTAACCAACAAACACCATCTCATTTAGGGTGTGAAGTAACAACCCATTCCCTACATACTGTACTACTTATGAGCTCTGGTCAAAAGTAGTGCGCTACATAGGGGATAGGGTGCCATTTTTGTCTGTCTGTCTGGAAGTGGCTATTGAATAATGAGAAATGCTACAGAGGAGCAAAGCACTTAAGCAGATTGAAGAATGTGTTTCTGGTGTCACGTTCAGCTTCTGAGCAAGTGGTTTTGCGTCCCTCTCAGAATCACACATTTGGTCCATAATCATAAGTTTGTTGAGTGCTTAAAGAGATTGAAATGGATCTTAAACACTTACAAATTCGTAACATATTCTACAAATTTGATTTATTAAAAAAATATATTTTCAGTTTCAGGGACCCGTTTTGTCTCGTGAGCACTACTTTCAAAACTACTGGCTGAAATTATACAAAACCTTTATAATGCATCTTTTAGGGAAAATATCTTTAATGTTTTGGTACAAAACAATTCTGTAATGGTGTATCAGCATGTTTTACCTTGATCTTTTCTTTACCTGGAATATTGGAATCGTTTTTTTACCTCAAACTTTTCATTTTAGAATATACAAATAAACGTTTTATGTTGTATTCATCATGCCATCATTTCCGGTTGGACACATTGGACTTTCTATTGGATTTATTGGATGTATGTCTCAATCTTGAAACTGGTTTTCCCACGGCGCTACAGGATTCTTTGAACCTCCTGTAACATAACATTTCTGTTGCCGTAGAAACGGAGGCTGGACCCCCTGGTCGTCATGGGGACAGTGCAGCACCACCTGTGGAACGGGGTTTGAGATGCGCCAGCGCTCCTGCAACAACCCGTCGCCCCGTCACGGGGGACGCGTGTGTGTGGGCCCTGTCAGGGACGAAAGGTGAGAGGAGAAGGGGAGAGGGGGAGATGGAAGGTCTATTTGTGAGAGAGCTATGTGAACATATGTTGGTTTAGTCATACTTTTATCAAATGTAATTTTTTTGCTGAATAATTAAAGTGTTCGCTTGACTCAAAAGAGCAAAACTCTCAAACATTTATGGGTGCCATTACAAAGGAAGGACATTTATGATTAATTTATGAGACATGTTTTGCACTTTTCAGTAACAGTATTGGTCCTCAGTATCTTTTTGGGGATGATGGTCTTAGGTAAATGTCAGCCCTCTTACACACGCCAGTGCCTCTCACCGTGTAATGCAGAAGACAAATGTACATTTCTTCCCAAATGGACATCAGTTTCTATCCTCCCCTCCCCTCCCGTCTCCTCTCCTCCCCTCTCTAGGTTCTGTAATGAGGGTGTGTCGTGTCCCCAGCCTATCTTCTGGTCCCCGTGGGGTTCCTGGACTAAGTGCAGTGCTGAGTGTGGAGGAGGGGTCCACTCCAGGGTCAGGAGCTGTGAGAACGGGAACAGCTGCCCAGGCTGCGCACTGGTATGATATGAATGGACAGACGGACGGACGGACGCACGCACACACACACGCACGCGCGCGCGCACACACACACACACACACACACACATACACACACACACACACCTCTTGGCTCACAGAGCTGCTGTGGACCTGTATGTGAGCCTGAGAGATGGCCTTAGGTCTCTCTCACAAGAAATCTGGCACGTGCACAGATAGGGCTCTACCTGTGCAGAGCATACGCTCCTTTGCCCTTCCGGTCTCCAAAGTGCACATTTTGGTGGTGGTATAATAGTTTTTTTACTAATTGTCTGTTGTTGTTCTGAACCTACTTCCCACATGTCGTCGTTAAATTTTCATCTATGTTTCAGAACCAAAAGGTTGTGTGTCTTGAATTTTTTTTAAAAAAAATTTAGGGGGTAGATCAGCTTTAATATTGCAGATAGATTGTAACTTCCATCAATGTAATTGTCTGCATCACTTCCAATCCCCCATATGTTTTTTTTCTCGCAAATATATATATATATATATATATATATATATATATATATATATATATATATATATATATATAGATATATACACTGCTCAAAAAAATTAAGGGAACACTTAAACAACACAATGTAACTCCAAGTCAATCACACTTCTGTGAAATCAAACTGTCCACTTAGGAAGCAACACTGATTGACAATAAATGTCACATGCTGTTGTGCAAATGGAATAGACAACAGGTGGAAATTATAGGCAATTAGCAAGACACCCCCAATAAAGAAGTGGTTCTGCAGGTGGTGACCACAGACCACTTCTCAGTTCCTATGCTTCCTGGCTGATGTTTTGGTCACTTTTGAATGCTGGCGGTGCTTTCACTCTAGTGGTAGCATGAGACGGAGTCTACAACCCACACAAGTGGCTCAGGTAGTGCAGCTCATCCAGGATGGCACATCAATGCGAGCTGTGGCAAGAAGGTTTGCTGTGTCTGTCAGCGTAGTGTCCAGAGCATGGATGCGCTACCAGGAGACAGGCCAGTACATCAGGAGACGTGGAGGAGGCCGTAGGAGGGCAACAACCCAGCAGCAGGACCGCTACCTCCGCCTTGGTGCAAGGAGGAGCAGGAGGAGCACTGCCAGAGCCCTGCAAAATGACCTCCAGCAGGCCACAAATGTGCATGTGTCTGCTCAAACGGTCAGAAACAGACTCCATGAGGGTGGTATGAGGGCCCGACGTCCACAGGTGGGGGTTGTGCTTACAGCCCAAAACCGTGCAGGACGTTTGGCATTTGCCAGAGAACACCAAGATTGGCAAATTCGCCACTGGCGCCCTGTGCGCTTCACAGATGAAAGCAGGTTCACACTGAGCACATGTGACAGATGTGACAGAGTCTGGAGACGCCGTGGAGAACGTTCTGCTGCCTGCAACATCCTCCAGCATGACCGGTTTGGCGGTGGGTCAGTCATGGTGTGGGGTGGCATTTCTTTGGGGGGCCGCACAGCCCTCCATGTGCTCGCCAGAGGTAGCTTGACTGCCATTAGGTACCGAGATGAGATCCTCAGACCCCTTGTGAGACCATATGCTGGTGCGGTTGGCCCTGGGTTCCTCCTAATGCAAGACAATGCTAGACCTCATGTGGCTGGAGTGTGTCAGCAGTTCCTGCAAGAGGAAGGCATTGATGCTATGGACTGGCCCGCCCGTTCCCCAAACCTGAATCCAATTGAGCACATCTGGGACATCTCGCTCCATCCACCAACGCCACGTTGCACCACAGACTGTCCAGGAGTTGGCGGATGCTTTAGACCATCCGCCACCTCATCAGGAGCATGCCCAGGCGTTGTAGGGAGGTCATACAGGCACGTGGAGGTCACACACAGTACTGAGCCTCATTTTGACTTGTTTTAAGGAAATTACATCAAAGTTGGATCAGCCTGTAGTGTGGTTTTCCACTTTAATTTTGAGGGTGACTCCAAATCCAGACCTCCATGGGTTGATAAATTTGATTTCCATTGATAATTTTTGTGTGATTTTGTTGTCAGCACATTCAACTATGTAAAGAAAAAAGTATTTAATAAGATTATTTCATTCATTCAGATCTAGGATGTGTTGTTTAAGTGTTCCCTTTATTTTTTTGAGCAGTGTATATATATATATATATATATATATATATACACATACAGTTGAAGACGGAAGTTTACATACACTAACAGTGAGGGGAAAAAAGTATTTGATCCCCTGCTGATTTTGTACGTTTGCCCACTGACAAAGAAATGATCAGTCTATAATTTTAATGGTAGGTTTATTTGAACAGTGAAAGACAGAATAACAACAAAAAAATCCAGAAAAACGCATGTCAAAAATGTTATAAATTGATTTGCATTTTAATGTGGGAAATAAGTATTTGACACCCTCTCAATCAGAAAGATTTCTGGCTCCCAGGTGTCTTTTATACAGGTAACGAGCTGAGATTAGGAGCACACTCTTAAAGGGAGTGCTCCTAATCTCAGCTTGTTACCTGTATAAAAGACACCTGTCTACAGAAGCAATCAATCAATCAGATTCCAAACTCTCCACCATGGCCAAGACCAAAGAGCTCTCCAAGGATGTCAGGGACACGATTGTAGACCTACACAAGGCTGGAATGGGCTACAAGACCACCGCCAAGCAGCTTGGTGAGAAGGTGACAACAGTTGGTGCGATTATTCGCAAATTGAAGAAACACAAAATAACTGTCAATCTCCTTCGGCCTGTGGTTCCATGCAAGATCTCACCTCGTGGAGTTGCAATGATCATGAGAACGTTGAGGAATCAGCCCAGAACTACACGGGAGGATCTTGTCAATGATCTCAAGGCAGCTGGGACCATAGTCACCAAGAAAACAATTGGTAACATACTACGCCGTGAAGGACTGAAATCCTGCAGCGCCCGCAAGGTCGCCCTGTTCAAGAAAGTACATATACATGCCCGTCTGAAGTTTGCCAATGAACATCTGAATGATTCAGAGGAGAACTGGGTGAAAGTGTTGTGGTCAGATGAGACCAAAATGGAGCTCTTTGGCATCAACTCAACTCGCCGTGTTTGGAGGAGGAGGAATGCTGCCTATGACCCCAAGACATCATCCCCACCGTCACACATGGAGGTGGAAACATTATGCTTTGGGGGTGTTTTTCTGCTAAGGGGACAGGACAACTTCACCGCATCAAAGGGTCGATGGACGGGGCCATGTACCGTCAAATCTTGGGTGAGAACCTCCTTCCCTCAGCCAGGGCATTGAAAATGGGTCGTGGATGGGTATTCCAGCATGACAATGACCCAAAACACACAGTCAAGGCAACAAAGGAGTGGCTCAAGAAGATGCACATTAAGGTCCTGGAGTGGCCTAGCCAGTCTCCAGACCTTAATCCCATAGAAAATCTGCCAAACTCGAAACCTTAATGACTTGGAGAAGATCTGCAAAGAGGAGTGGGACAAAATCCCTCCTGAGATGTGTGCAAACCTGGTGGCCAACTACAAGAAACGTCTGACCTCTGTGATTGCCAACAAGGGTTTTGCCACCAAGTACTAAGTCATGTTTTGCAGAGGGGTCAAATACTTATTTCCCTCATTAAAATGCAAATCAATTTATAACATTTTTTACATGCGTTTTTCTAGATTTTTTTGTTGTTATTCTGTCTCTCACTGTTCAAATAAACCTACCATTAAAAGTATAGACTGATAATTTCTTTGTCAGTGGGCAAACGTACAAAATCAGCAGGGGATCAAATACTTTTTTCCCTCACTGTAACTACATATAAGGAATTTTTTAGAATTAATAATAATATGTGTATGTATATATATATATATATATATATTGGGAACTCAGTCGGTGTCACGCCCTGGCTCTGGGGACTCTTAAATGTTGAGCCAGGGTGTGGATTTGCTATGTTTAGTTTTTCTATGTTTTTGTTCTAGATCGTTTGATCTATGTTGGCCAGGGTGGTTCCCAATCAGAGGCAGCTGTAGCTCGTTGTCTCTGATTGGGGACCATACTTAGGCAGCCTGTTTTGCACTAGTCTTTGTGGGATCTTGATCCGTAAAGGTTTGTTGTGTTATAACCTCAGGACTTCACGTATCGTTTGTTTGTTGTTTTTGTCGTTAAGTACGTTAAATAAAAGTATGTACGCTTATCACGCTGCGCCTTGGTCCGTGTCTTCAGTCAACGATCGTGACAGAAGATCCCACCATAAGAGGACCAAGCAGCGTGCCCAGGAGGAGAAGATGGCGATGTCGCAGGTGGGCAAATGGTGGTCTTGGGAGGAGATATTCGCGGGGAGAGGGCCATGGGCAAAGGTGAATGCCCAGGCAGAGAGGAGCAGCGGCAACGCAGAGGGTACCGGCCGGGGAGGAAGCCCGAGAGACAGCCCCAATAATTTTTTTTGGGGGGGCTAAAAGAGTGGTTGGCAGAGCCTAGAGTTAGAGCAGAGCCAACTCCCCGTACTCAGGCTAGGAAGCGTGAGACTGGGCAGGTGCCACGTACTGTGCCGCGAGTGTTCCGGCATAGTCCTGTACGTCCTGTGCTAGCACCACGCACGTGTCGTGCTAAGGTGGGCATGCAGCCAGGACGGGGTGTGCCGGCTCAACGCTCGTGGCCTCCAGTACCCCTCCTCGGTCCCGTATATCCTGCGCCAGTGCCACGTGCTGTAGCGCCAGTACGAGTGCACAGCCCTGTACGTCCTGTGCTGATGCCTCACACATATTGTGTGGAAATAGGCATTCAGCCAGGACGGGTTGTGTCAGCTCTCCGCTCCAGACCTCCAGTCCGCCTCCACAGTCCGGCCCGGCCCGTTCCGGCTCCCCGCACCAAGCCAATGGTGCGTGTTCCCAGTCCAGCCCGGCCTGTTCCTGCTCCCCGCACCAAGCCAGTGGTGCGCGTCGCCAGCCCGGTCCGGCCTGTTCCTGCTCCCCACACCAAGCCAGTGGTGCGCGTCGTCAGCCTGGTCCGGCCCGTTCCTGCTCCCCGCACCAAGCCAGGAGTGCGCGTCGTCAGCCCG